CTTTTGCGATTTTCATATTTTTTAATATTGTATTGGTTTAGTCTTCCTTTTGATGTGCAATTAAAAAAATACAAAATGAAAGTTATTTATTATTCTTAGAAATATGAACTCAGTATGAGAAGAAAACTAAGAATTTGTACAGTATTTCATTTTTAATTTTGTATTAAAATATCAACTTGATAATGTAATTGGGCAAATTTGATCTGAAGGTTATAAATAGTTTGCAGTTTCATTTTTAAAAAATTTTAACTTTCATTTTGTATTTTTTGTAAATTGAAAACATTTATTGAAATGATTTTTTGAATAAAATAAATATTTTTGATTGAAAATGTTATTTGTTTCAATATTTTAGTGCTAATCGTTTTTCTATAATATTAAAAATAGTTTTTCAATTATTTGCAGCGTTTATTTAAAATGATTTTTCATCTGATATTTTCTGATGTCATTTATTATTGTATTATTTTTCAACAAAATTATTTGAACAATTCAAAGTTTTGTTATAATTTTGACTATTAATAAGAATGATGTCAAAAAGCATTTGTTATGCTTATATTTTTTCATTAAAAAAATACTTTTCAACAATAAATTAAATAATTTAATTAATCATTTCAAAATTTATCTTAAATTCAAATCAAAAAAAATTTAAATACTTGAAGTTCTTACAATTCTTGCTTTTACTATTTGTACTGTGCTAAATTTTTCTATATTAAATTTGATTTCTAAAACATACAAAATGAAAAAAGTCTCTATTTTTAGTTTTTAATTACATAAGTGTAGTAATTTTGTTATCAATTTATCTTTTTAATTTCTGATTAATTTAAATTATAATTATTGGAAAAAAAGATGATTTTTTAGAAAAACTAGTGTATTGCTGATTAATACTTTTTAAATAATATTTTTTATTTGAAAACTTTTGTTAAGTTCATAAAATAAAAAACTTTTAAACTTGATGCTTTACTGATTAATATTGATCAATTTAGTAATTAACTTGTTTTGTAATAATTTATTTATTTAAGCTATTCAAAATGAACGTGACCGTATTGGTAGTACAAAACGAAATCGTAAGCGAAGTTTTCCAGCACCTCTACAGCCGACTTCAACCAGTGGCGAAGGTAACAGTGACTCAGGTAAATTTTATCAATCAATATTTCGGGATATTTTTACGAAATTTACTTAGTTGATCAGTTTGAAGTAATCATGTACTCAAAATTTATTTAAGCCTATTGATTGATTAAAAAAATATTTTCAGATAAATTTCAATGTTTAAGTATAAAATTTTTCAGTTACAAACTTTGCTACCGTACACGTGAAATAAAACATGCGTTCAGTATTCTCACGTTCAGAACTTTTTTGCTCAAGTTAATTAGATTACAGAATGCAATGATTTAATTGTATTTTACGAGGCAATAATTATTTGTTTTTCTAAAGTAGTTAACTTCTAACTTTTCACAGATTTAGTACGTATCGATGTTAATTTGCTTACTTGTACAGTAGTTCATCTCTCGCATACATTTTATAAATGAAGTGTGCAGCAAGAATTTTCAGATGATGGTTTACTACCATCAGGTGGAGGTGTACGTACAGACCGACGTTGCGCAGAAGATGGCGTAACAAGCGCAGCAACTTCTAGACGACTTGTAGAAATGATTGTAGATATTGAAAATAGATTACAAGGTAATCAAAGTATGAATAATATTCTTGGAGGTGAAGGTCAAGAAAATAATTCTCGACAACGAAGTATATCTTTGATGATTGGTTGGGCTAACTTGTTGCATCCTCTACCTCAGTTGCCTTTCACTGATAAGGTACCTTTTGAAAGGTTTTTTTTTCCTTTTTCCAAATTAGAATACATATTTTGGACAACAGAATTTTGAAAATTACTGAAACTTCAAAAAAGTTTCAAAATGCTCTAAAACCATTTAAAAATATGCATGAAGTATACCTTTTGCAACTTTTTCAAATTCTTTTTTGAGCTTTCTAAAAAACTTATTTACATCACTTTAATTTATTAATTTAAAAAAAAGTCTTAGTTTTATTTAATTAATTAGTGCAAAAATTTTTTTTAATTAATATTAATTTGCTATTAATATTTTAGAAATAGAGCATTTTGAAACTTTTTTATAACTTCAGTAGTAATTGTATAATATTGTAGTAGCAATCTGAAATTTTTTTATATTTTGCTTATTATTTCAAATAAAGCTTTTTTATTTTTTGTATTTTTATATCTGAGTGTTTGCTAAAATTTTTGAATATTCGTCTTTGATAATGATATTTACTGGAATTTTATGGTGAATATATATTGTTGAATCAGTTACTACTGAAGTTATAAAATATGTACTGAATTTGTTATTGTTGCTAAATAAAAATAAATATAGTTATTAAAATTTTTTATCATTTTGCAAAATTTCAGGTGTTGTTATTAAAACATTGTTCACCAGCATTTTCTTTGCTGCATACTGTACAACGTTCAATTACGTCAACGCATCTAATACTTCCGAATGATACTGTTCTTGCCCTTACGCCTTTTCATTATCCGGATCTCTTAGCCGTTGTAGGTAGAATTTTGGATGAGATTCTAACACCAATACGTCGAATGAACGTGGAAAAAGCAGAAATATCAGCATTAAAAGCTTTAGTATTGCTACATCCTGACGTAATGGGTTTATCTATTACTTCACGTGAAAAACTACGAGAAGCACGGGATGGTGTTTTACGAGCTTTGTTCACATACCTTAGTCAAGTATTATCACCTGGTGATACTTCTGTAAGACTGAGCAATTTACTTCTTCTAATACCATCAGTATATTCAGCTGCACAAACTATTTCTCAAAATGCTGCACTTGGCGTTATTTTCGGTCTTACTGATCAATCTTCAGCATCTACCAGTAAAATTTCCGCGGTAATCAATGATTGTATGGATGAACAAAAAGATATTAAAGAAAATCTTAAAGAATGCCACAATTTTCTTTTTGCTAAGACACCGACAACTTACTTAGCTGATCTAATGGCGGGTCAGGTCATTTCTGCTCACGACAATTTGCAACAAACTACCACTAATATTACCAATCCTGCTGCTCTACCAGTCAGTCATTTCTCTGTTTTTCATAAATATATGCAAATTTTTAATATTTTACACCATAATATGTTTATTTTTTAACACATAAAAAAGGGCAGTGAATATTAATTTTATTGTACTACTTTAGCTGTTTTTGATTGCTAAAAAGAGCTGCGCGGAAAAGGTCACTGTCCACTTTAACCTTTTGTACATACAGTGAAATAAACGAATCAGATTCTGTTAAAATGACTCATAGAATTTGCACTACTAAATGACCTATAAATGAGCGGATTAATTTTGTCATAAACAGTAATGAAAATCATTTATAAATTTGTAAATGCTTCTTAACAAATCAAATTAAAAATTACAAATTCAAAGTGAAGTTTATTACTACCATCATTTTGAATTCAAATTTTTTTGTATTTTTTGAATTTTGAACAAATAAATTAAATTGCTTTTAGTAGTAAAAAGTTCGCTTTTTTAATTGCTAAAAAGATTCATAATTTTGAAATAGAATAAAGTTTGCGTATTGCAAACATAAATTTGCTGAAATCTGTAATATGTATTTGAAATTTTTTTACTTTATGAATCTAAACAGATTACTCACACAAAAGTAACATCAAATATTATTGTTTTTATAATAAAATAACAAAATCTCCAAATAAATGCTAAAAGATATCTAAATCATAAGTATTTATTTATGTTGTTTATTTATTTATTTGTTTGTTTATTTATTTATTTTATTTTATTTATTTATTTATTTATTTATTTTGTTTATTTATTTATTTTGTTCATTTATTTATTTATTTATAATTAAAGAAAATTATTTAGTATGGCTTTAACTTTGATGCTAACTTTCAGGTTGATTTAAGCAAAATATTCAAAAAGTCAAAAAAGGATTGTGTACATATTTTACTCCTAAATTTTGAATTTTGCTATTTTAAAATTTAAGTGAATTTTAAATAATTTGAAGGTGAATAAGTAATTTTTTGCTGCATAAAAACTTAAATTCAAATGGGGCATAAAAAATAACCTAATAGTATCAAAATTTATTTTTAAAATTATGATATTGTCAGAAATTGTTAGAGAATTTTATGTGTAATACCAATTAAAAATAAAATAAAAAAGTTTAAATAGTGCAACGACAAAAAAAATAATTAAAAAAATAATTACCATTAAAGTATTTTATTTAAAAATCATTTTCTTTATCAACGAATTTGTAAACTAGTTCTATCAGTTAATAAAAAGTTGTATCCGAGACTTAATTACTTTTAATACAAACAAGTAATACAATTAAGAACGAATAAAAATTATAGCAAAATGTGTACAACAAGTCAAAAATAAATTTTTATGATAACTTTATGAACTATTTTTTATACAAACTTATTAGTGGCGATAAAAACTTTTGCAGTTTTATCTCTGGCAGAAATGTTTATGTATATCCATTTGATATTTTCTTATTACTTACGGTATTTTTATGGACTTCAAAATATAAAAAACTTAATACAAAAAAATTAAAAGCATTTTTTAATGCAAAAAAATAAAATTAATTAGCAATTATTACAAAATAAAGAATAATCTCTAATTTTTTTAATATATTGCGACAAATTTAATTTCGTTATCCATCAGATTATCACAGTTTTTGCAATTTTATATAAACTATTAATAGTTGTAAGAGTAATAATTTTTTTAATACACTTATTTTGTAAACATTTATCTTGCAAAAAATAAATGCTCAAGAAAGCCAAAATTAAATTAAATTAGATGATTTACATCAGAAAACTTACAAAACTTGTTGGAATAACCAATAACAGTACTGGTATTCTTAATAAAAATATATACGAGTGAGGAAAAATTACCGTGTTATAAATATACTTGTTAATGAATGAAATAAAATATGAATATAATATTTAAAAAATATTACCGATGAAAAAAAAATTATGCTGATAAAATCCGTTTCTTAATTTAATTTTTTAACGTTTTATATTTTATCAAAATTTGAACTTAGAAGTCTTTTTGGAAATTTTCAGTTTTAATTTAATAAAATATTAATCCCCGCATAATAATTATTATATTATCATAATTAAAAACTAAATCTGAATAAAATTGATACTAGATTTTTTTTCTAACGATAGTTTTTGTTTAAAAAAAGTGTTTCTTAATTTGTAGTTTACACTTTTTCAGTTCAAATTTAAAGCCAAATTAAAAGTTCCTTAATTAAATTATTACTTCAGCAAAGCACCAACTGTGTTGATACTTTGATTTTTCTTATCATAAAATAAGCAATTTTTTCTTCCATTTATTAAAGGTTAATTACATTATTTTTATCAATTATGAATATAATTTTGTCAATTTATTTCAGCTACTTACGTCATCATCATCGTTACCACTACAGATGAAAATGTTCATGACGTAGGAGTATTCCTTTAAATTGTAAGGATCACGTCTTGCAGTTAAATCGTACATATCACACAGATAAGTTCTCACATCAATAAAGTTATTCATAAGTAATCAGATACCTGATTTACAAGACTTGCACTGTTTGATATATGTGGTATGTAATACTTGTTTTGCATACCATATTTGTATTACTGATAAAGTAAACGTATTTGTAATCTTATTTAACTGACTAAATTATAAATTTCAAATCTGTACTTAAATTTAATTGATATTAAATAAGTACTCTTTCTCTTTCATGTATTTTAATTCCTATTTGTATATTCTTTGTTTATGCCATATAATAATTTTGTCGTTTGTTTTAAAATACATAAATATATATGCATGAACTAATTTTTATGCTAAAATTCAAATTATTAACTTTATTTGTCATCTTTCGCTCCTTTTTTTAAAATTGAAAATAATTTTTTCTGTTTGTGTCATCTTTTTATTGCCACATCTTTACTGATAATAAAATGGCATCTTTTCTTGTTCAGAAATTTTTAGCATTAAAAATGATTCAGAAAATAATTCAAACTTTTAAGATTCAAAAATGAAATTTTCAAAAATTTTTCATTTGCCATCAGTCATTCTTTTTTTTTTTTTTTTGAAATATTGAAGTAAAAAAATGCTTTGGTTACCGCATAATTGAAAATTTCTCATTTTGTACAACTACTTCGACATCAATTTTCTACAGCTAACAAATCACATGCATTCTTCTTGTCTTCAAATAAATAAATAAATTTTAAAATCTTCTGACAATTAAAAAATTTACATATGTTGCTTTTGTAATTGACGTCAAATTACGTCAGTTTCTTCAACGTAATATTTTAAAAAAATATAATAACAATATCGATATTTGGGTTATTTATTTCATTACATTGTCTAGGTATTATATCATACTACCTTACTTGTCTCTCATCACACAGTATTTTCCTGTTGTTTAGGGTATTTAAGCAATTGATATTACAATTATTTTCAAATTCATAACTATAAACATACTTTCCACAATTATTAAAAAATCTCTGCCAATAATTTAAATATTTTTTCCTTGCTTAATTTCGTTCATAAAACTATACACTTTAATGCGGAAATACTGCAATTTAATATTTGATTTGCGCACAAATAGTTAATTATGCTAATTTTAGCCTTAGCCTAGGCTATTTTCAGAGTAAGTCTGATTTTTTTCACAATGTTCATTTATAAAAATAAAACAAAAAGCATCTAAATCTTAGACTAAATCTGTTCACAATTAAAAATAAGTTATAAGTACAGATTATCTAATCTTTTTTTTCTACAATAAGAACACAAATAAATTTTATAACAAAAAGTTTTTTTCTTAATTCAAAGAAATAATTAAAAATACTTTTCAATTTTATCGCTGAAAAAAAAAATTTTTTTCATATTACCATTGTTTATTGTCAAAAAACAGCGAATTCACTTATATCTTTTATTGAAAATTCCTTTGAAAAATTACATTTTTTACTGGTCCTTTTTGGTTGGAAAAAAAATTATACTTTTTGTCACAAATTTTTTTTAGATTAAATTTTTGTGCAGCACTGACTGTACTTATTTACATTTTTTGCAAAAGATTCTTTCAAACAATTACACTTTTTTCCAGACTTTTACATTATATTAATTTAGAAAAAAAATTACTTATCGTTTTTAGCATACATTTCACTAAAAACTTATTATTAACATATCCATTATATGCATAATGATTAATCGAATGAGAAACTGAAATTATAATAATAAGTATACATGACAACACCCGACTACTATCTTCTTTTGATTTGCTGACTGGTGATATCAGTGATGCAATCAGTTAGTTCATTTCATTGATAGTGTGACATATCTGGCGTTTTATCAAATAATTGAATCATATATGGGCAAAAAATAGATCAAAAATAAAAGAAGAGATCAGCATGAAGTGAAAAATCACCAAGAAATTTCGAGTAACTAAGCAAAAAATTTGATCAATTGCGCTGAACTCGGTATAGCACCCATCTATATTATCTCTTTCCAACCTTTTGTTAATGAAATGCATTTATCGAAGCCATTTCTTCAATCAAATCATATACTAGAAATGATTAGTTAAACAAATTACTCTGTCTGCAGATAAAAAGGTTCACTTGCACAAGCTTGATTTATTAATTAGATGAAATGGTTCAAATACCGTCTCAGTTCAATTTTTATTAGATTTAAACAAACAGCAACAATCAGCTTGGGCAAGAAACAAAAATGGGAAATAGAGAGCAAAACAGGAAACAGAAACACTGATAATGCAATATGTGAGATTCAATATTTCTAAATTCCAGGCAATCAATTGTAAACCATATAACTTTTGAATTTAAAAACTTTCTTGGTTATATCTTATTAAATAAGTAAATTAGCTGCTTATTTTACTTTCTTAATAACAAAACAAATTTGAACAATGACTACACAAAAAAAGCAGTCAAGCACGAAATTGTAGATATTAATAGAAAGCTTATTAATGAATGTATGTCAGAAAAAAAACGAATGCATATAGCTGCATTCCAGCAGCATAGCTTCATAGCAAATTTATTGTTTGCTTAAAAAAATGTGTAACCGCACATGCATTAATTTGAAAATAACAATTAAAATCGGGATCATAAAACTAGACAAAATAACTAATAAGTCACTTACTCAAAAAAAGTACATAAATGATAATAAACTATAAATAAAAATAAAACTAAACTTTACAGCTCTGCGCATAATTCATGCCTAAAGCAAAAGCATAAACCATTGACTGCACATGTACCTCTGTACTTACAGATTCGATATATGTTAATAATTTATCAGATTCAACGAGCACGACCTAAAAAATGATTGGAAGTTTATAAGTGGGAAAAATTATTGCAAACAAAGGACCAAATATTAAGGGTTTGTAAATGGATAAAATCGAGTTAGTAGGATCCAAAAACTTTTGTAGTGCCTGAAATTAAAAAATAAATCTCCAAACTATTAGTTAATAATTAGAAGAATAGTAAGTTTCAAAAATAAATCTCACTACTATTAGTTAATAATTAAGAAAGTAGTAAGTTTTAAAATTAACGAAATGCAGCAAAAAATTGCACACTTCAATCGATTCACCATCGTCCAAATTCTGCTTCGGATTTTTATTCTCTGGTGCATTACCATCAACATCAACTACCACAAAATTAATGCTCTCATCGGTAAGACCAGGGCTTAAACTCTGTTTACCTTTTGAGCACGATATTACCTGTAAAAAGTGCTATAAATACTAAGAAACAGCTTACGAAACAGTATAGCAAATGGAAATAAACCAGAGCGTTAGTATTGTAAAAAACCAACCTTACTGACTGTGTATCCTGTTTCTTCTTTTAATTCTCGTACTGCCGCAGCCTCAACACTTTCTCCCTCATTTATCAATCCTGATATACAGATTGAAAAGTTGTAAAAACTTAAACTAAAAACTTAATTACCAACAGTTTATAGAGCTTTCGTTTTGATGATTACGAGTTGAATATGTACTTCTATATGCTTGGTAATTTTTTTTCTTACCATAAAATATAGAAGACACAAGCCATCTTTCAATGTCGAAAAATTCAAATCAAACAAATTATAATTAGGAAGGTTTTTACATGTGAAAGTACTCTTTTTAATTCAGTGAAATGATCGAACTTTATATAAGAAGCAATTAAGACTTCAACTAACCAGCTGGAAATTCCAAACACACGCCACCCATAGGAATACGATATTGTTTGATGAGAATAAAATACTTCTTACCATTTTTGTGCAAAGTTGCAAGCACATCAACACCACTCGGTTTCGACTGCGGAATTTTGTGACGATGAGCTGATTCCCAGACCTTAGATTCGTAACTTTATTAACTAATGCACTCACGATGTTTTTTCAATTTATTGATAAAGTATATTGTTTCCAGCCCAAAAGTCATTTTATCTGCCTTACTTTAAATATGTACGAACACAAAACTTTATATTTTTATGGACGAATAATAAGAAATAAAGACATTGACTGAAAAAAAATAGCCATGTAAGAGCAATTCGATATTTTTGCAACATTTTTCTAATTTTTTCATTCAAAAAGTTTTTAAGCTAGATATTATTCGGAGGAAGACAAGTATCGAGCCAACAATGAATGCAGTCCTAAATAACTTTAATACAAGCATTGAATTGAATGACTGAATTTATCTGGAGCAACGCATTCTAATTTAATGCTGAGAAAGCGAATTAATATTATCATTTGATATTAATATTATCATCTGATATTGAAAATGGTCGCTTTCGAGTAGCTTTTATTGAATCTGGAATACCAGTACTGGTGAAGTATTGCTCTATAAACTGAACATAACTAAAAATAATAATAAGCATTACATACCTGTTCTGATGAGGAATCATTTTTTTTAAATCGGACCTGACGCACTTTTAACCATTTACCATCATAAACAAACTTCGGCTGTTCTACTATACTGAATGGACATTCAGCAAACATTTTTAGTAAACAGTCTGTAAAGCCGAGAGCTAGAAAAAGTACGAAAATGAAAACATTGTCGAATTATTCACTAAATATAGTGATTTCCAAAAAAGTACTCCTTGAAGTCAGAGATAAAAATATTGTTTGCGATAACGAACAAGATTGTTCAATGCCATAAAATTACAGATTTTAGCTTCCAGATTCTACTTCGTTATTCTTCTTTCGAAAATGGCAACAAAGAAAACTGTATATCTCAGCTTTGATGAGAGGAAAAAGAACAAGTAAGAAGATTGACTACAGAATTAACTGTAACATTGCAACTTTCACAAAGGTTCATGAATTTCATTCACAAGATTCAGAAAACAAACAATAATCTGTTCGCAGAATAACTGAAATTTTATATGTTACACTAAATGCAAATTTTGGTGGTTCGTTACCGACATGATGATATAAAAATTTTTTTACTTGCCAAAATGAAACTGTTATCCCATGAACAAACTCTTTAAATATTAATTCCAAGCAATTATAAGCTAAACTGAATGCCTTAATATTATCGTCCATTCCTTATCTACTTAGTTTTTATAAATTATAAAAATGATAACGCAAATAACTACAACCACAACTTATAACGATGAGAATTTCACGAAACTGATATGTGCAACTTGCCAAGTCAGGAATTGTTGTTATCTGTTTAAATGTGGAAAACTACGGAAGAGATTTGCTCAAAATTTGATTTCATGAATCCATTCTAGCATAGCATGCATCCACTGAGTTACTGACAGTAATCCGAGTATGAATTGCAATTTGAATATATTTTAAATGGCGAAAATTTGTGAAATAAGTCGGTATAAATGAACAAATATTCGAATCATTACTAATATAGTTCACACATCCATAATAATAAACAACTAGAAGTAACTATTATCAAGAAAATTCTTAACTAACTAATAAATCATATTCTTAAATTTGAATTGCCATTAAGTGTAATAATTTTGCTACTTATTTAATATTAAGATAAATAAAATTGAACAGTATACGGCCTATATTATAACTAACAAAAGGAACAAAAAATAAAGTAGAAAAAATTGCTAATAAAATTATTTTAGTTTGAGAAGTTGAACATCACTTACATTGATAAACAAGTAGAAAATTTGAATACTGTTACAATACTTAAGTTTCTTCAGAAAATTTAAATACTGCTTCAGTATTCATGTTTCCTCAGAAAATCTGAATGCTGCTTCAGTATTTAAGTTTCCTCAGAAAATCTGAATGCTGCTTCAGTATTTAAGTTTCCTCGTTTTTAAACTATTTGTCAATACTTCAAATCACAGAATATAATTCATCTACAAAGCAACTATCTTGAAAAACTGATCACAGTGTAGCAGTTACCTTATTCTATTAATCATCGGCAGCAATACTAGACAAAATTATTAAAAAAAAAAGTTTATATCAAAACAATAATTTATAATACTTACGATTAATGTGAAAAATCATGCCAAAAATAGAACTGAATCTGCAAATCTGATTTAAATGCACTATTTTTCTTCAGTAGAAGCATTAATAATACTTTAAAATCAAGCTAAATTAAACAAACATTGCACACTGCTCGATAATAGTCCCAAATCTATTCATTTAATCCTAAAAATTCAAATTTAAGTAATACAATCTCGAACATAATGCGACAGATTACTCAGTAGCTTTTCGAGTATCAGCCAGCTTCATCTTGTCCTAAAAGTAATAAATGGTTGATGTGCGAATAATTTATAAATGTATTATTGTTCGCAATTTTTGGTCGCACTAATTTTTTTCATTTAGACTACTATTTTAAGTCTGTACTGTTTCTTTAGCATCCGACCGTATATCTCTCCGTCATTTTGCACGTAATGTTCACTACTTTTTTACTCAACGTAATAATTGTACTCTAACCATTGTAGACGCTTCAGAGTGAAGGAGAGGAATAAATTTGTTTGTGTAGAATTACACACATTCCGACCTTCGTAATTTGCAAGAAAAATGGGAGGTGTTGTATTTATTTTTCATTTTAGTTACTGTGAAGTGTAAAGTGTAATTTAACTTTGCTTTTAATAATTATAGATCACTGTATTATTGTATTACGATCAGATGCTAAAGGATATAGAATAACTTTTCTGCTTCAAAAAATATAAAATACCAAGTATGAAATTCTGCTTACGCGTTTTATGACTATTCTAGATTAATTTCAGCTTTATTTTCGTGCAGTTTGAATTAAACAAAGTTGTCCACATTATTGTCAGTGAAGAGTTATCTTTGTGATTTAAGTATTTGCTTAAGAAATTGCAGTTGTAACAAGTGTAATTTTATTGTAAACTGCAACAGTTTGCGGTGTGACAGTTAATTATTTGCGTGAAAATACTAAATATTGTAGAAATACGAGCGAGAGTTGAAATATTTTTATGAAAATGATAGGAGAAGAAGCGACTGAAGTGAAAAAGCTCAGCAAAAAGTAAGTATCTCTTCTTTAGATCTGTTGTTGTACAGTTAATGAAGTGATTCGGGTTTCCTAAGTTACGTTAAAGCAGCAACAGCGCTGTCATTAATATTTGAAAAAGAATGCTTGCAAACGTCCTTCGGTGTGTTCAATTAGAATGGCGGATTTCGTCCCGTGTAATTTTACGAGATATTGGTGGCTCAAACATCATGCAGAAACAGTGGACAAGGTACAAAGTGTTGAAAGAGTAAGAATTTTTCAGGTATCTCAGCCGAAGCAGGAAGCAGATTTATTTATCTGGGCAGTAATGAAATAAAAACTGGAGTTGGAATCGTAATACTTTCCGCGTATAAAAAATTTTTTCTCATCAAATTAAAGTTGACTTTCGTTTATGATAAAAAATTTTAGACATCATTTTTAGCAAACAAAAACGCCAGCTGAAAACGGAACAGAAATTAAAAGAAAAAGCAGAAAAAGAAGCTAGTCGAATTGCTGCAATAACTGTTACAAAAGAAATAAAAGACAAGCGGGATGTAAAAGCCGATCCATCAGATCCACATGTAAATAAATCGCTTCATGTTTCTTTCAGATATTTGTCTGTTACATTTTCTTATTTTCTATATGTCCACGTTCCTGTTATCCATGCCTTCATCATTTAAACTGCCTAATTATTTTAGACTTATTTTCATATTGACGCAAGTTCTAAAAAAATCTTTGTAATAGAAATGATAAGAAATTTGTGTCGTAATTAAACTTACTAGTTAATCTGCATCTTATATAAAAAGATCTGGAAAACAAATCATAGTTAAATTGCTGTTCACAAGTTCCAATTTGTGCCTATTACTATTACCCATGTTGTTTCTATATTCCAGGAATATTTCCAATTACGAACTTCTTTAGTTGAAGAACGCCGGATTAAAGGAATTAATCCATTTCCACACAAGTTCCATGTGTCAATTTCTTTAGCTAGTTTTATTGACAAATACAGCTATTTGGAAAAGAATGTCATATTAGAAGACGTTGTTGAAAGTGTAGCTGGTTAGTTTTTCTGCGTATCGATGTATTCATGCCTTTTTTGCTATTCGAAACATATTTTATAATTTTTAGGACGATTATTTTCGAAACGAGAAGCAGGTGGAAAGCTTATTTTTTATGATCTTCATGGAGAAGGAAAATGTTTACAAGTGCTTGCAAATGCGAAGTAAATATTCAAGTTTTTCTATTAGTGATATTATTTGTCATAAAAATCAGTTGAATAATTTTGTATTTTTGCCATATAAAATCTGCAGATTTCATAAAGATGAGGAGTCATTTTCCGATCTTCATGATCGAATTAAGCGTGGAGATATTGTTGGTGTTAATGGATATCCAGCAAGGTCTAAATCTGGTGAGCTTAGCATCATACCATTTGAGGTAGATGATAAACCGTTTTTTTATTTTTTATTTTGTTTAAATCAAAGTTAAGACAGTAGCAGTAATTACAAATATAATGAAGTTCAATTTTCCATCAGTCATTTTCATGTCAAACAGTTTGAGGGAAATATTGTTCTGACAAAATCCTTTTTCGTTTGATTAGTCAGATCAAGTTACCACTCATGTTTTTAATGAATTTTTAAAGTGTGTTTTTGAAGCCTCTATGAGTTATGAATCGTGTTTAAGATAGTCCAATTGACACCGTGCTTGCATATGTTACCACACACCCACTTTGGTTTGAAAAACCAAGAGACCAGGTAAATCGAACTTATTTCTCTCTTAGAATAAATAATTATAGGAATTTCATTTGGTGCAAATTATTTAATATAGTTTCAGTGTGCAATCTGAATTAATATTCAGCACGGACAAGACAGATTTATTTGATTTTAAATATTATATGTTAAGTTTATTAGAGTATCGATTGCAGGTATCGGATGCGATATCTTGATTTAATTATGAATCCTGATGTCAAAAACAAATTCGTTACTCGATCGCGAATAATTACCTTTTTAAGACAGTATCTTGATAACATGGGTTTTTTAGAAGTAAGTAATGTCATGTTTTTTCGCATCTTTCAGTTCCCTTTACTGCAATAAGATTAAAATTCCACTAAAATATAATCTAATGTTAATCAATGGTAAGCTGTTTGTATAGTTTCAATTATTGAGGTCGAGACACCGTTAATGAATCGTATACCTGGTGGTGCTACTGCCAAACCATTCATAACGCATCACAACGATCTGGATATGGATCTTTACCTTCGTGTAGCTCCGGAGCTCTATCTTAAAGTAATGCGATTGCATAACAGTTCTAATAAAATATTTTTTTTTGTATTTTTTGACACACTTTAATCTTGGAGGTTCCAGATGTTAATAGTTGGTGGTATTGATCGGGTTTATGAGGTTGGACGTTTGTTCCGCAATGAAGGAATTGATCAAACTCATAATCCTGAATTTACTGCATGCGAATTTTATATGGCCTACGCAGATTATGAAGATTTGATGAAAATGACTGAAGACTTGCTTTCAAGTAAAGTTATTTATTTTTCTCATATCAAAATTCACTTTTTCATTTGTTTCACTTGGCTTGATTTCGAAGAGGCAGTTGTTAATGTCAGGATTACAACTGAAAAAGTGAAAGTATAAACAAGAGATATCTCATTTAAAATATGATGAATAAAACTTTATGTACCTTGAAATTTCTTGTTGTTATTTATACTTACTGCTATTTTTTAACCAATTCATCTATATAGAGTTGGTTTATTTTATTCATGGAAAATACAAAATACAGTATCACCCAAATGGTATGGGCGAAGAGCCTGTTTATGAGGTTAGTCTTTACGTAGTTTGATTTTATATCTCCACAATGACAGCTCCAACTTTTATTTCAAATTTCAATGAAAATCGCTTGTTGAGGTGAACAGAAATAACACTGGACTCAGAGAAATTAATTTTAACTCCTCATTTTTCTCATTGATAAGCCATAAATTATTTGTGTTTGAGGTTGATTTCACACCTCCTTTCCGAAAAGTCAATATTTATGAAGGATTGCAAGAGAAGTTAGGCGTCCAGTTTCCTTCACCGGATACTCTCTATACCGACGGTTGTAAATTGATATCTTATTTATTATATTCAATGGTTTCTTCTTATTTTATACTTAAATTATTAAAATGAATACTTTCATAATGAGTGAATTTCTTAGTTTTCAGAAGCTAATAAGTTTTTTGATGATATAGCAGTAAAAAATAATGTTGAATGCCCAGTGCCACGAACTACTGCAAGGCTGCTTGACAAGGTATTTTTCGTTTAAAAATACTCTATTTTCACACCCTTCCATCAATCTTTATATATACTAAAATCAGAAATTGGTTTGCGTTTCAAAAACAACTATGTATGCATAGTTGTTTTTGAAACGTAAATTAATTATGCCACAATAGGATTTTAATTTCATTTCATAGCGCCAAATAACTAATCCTAGCTTCAGTGTAAATCCTGACAATACAAATTTTTGAGACAAATGTCTCAACAATATGGATTGTCAGGATTTACACTGTTCTGATTTTATGCATGTAATTTCAGCTACTTGGTGAATTTTTGGAAACGGAGTGTATATCACCAACTTTTCTTGTTGGGCATCCTCAAATTATGTCTCCACTTGCAAAATGGCATCGTTCGATACCTGGTCTAACAGAGCGTTTTGAATTATTTGCAGTTACTAAAGAAATTGTAAATGCATATACGGAATTGAATGACCCAATTACACAACGACTTCGCTTTGAAGAGCAAGCAAAAGTATTAATTTTCTATTTGTCTTTCACTGCTGCCTGTTTGGTTTTACAAAAATGTGTGTTATTATTCTATCCTTTTATTATTTGCAGCAGAAACAGGCTGGTGATGACGAAGCGCAGTCAATAGATGAAAATTTCTGTACTGCTCTTGAATATGGCTTACCGCCAACTGCTGGTTGGGGCATGGGTATTGATCGCTTAACAATGATCCTAACTGATAGTAACAATATTAAGGTCTTAGCTTAATGAAATAATGTTTGTTTTGCTTAATCAATGAAATTGTCATTGATGAGGGCTTCGACTTCTCTAATATAATAGACCGGCCAATTAGAAGTGATTTTACTCTATCTTAAATTTAAAACTGCATTAACATTTTTAGGAAGTGTTGTTTTTCCCGGCAATGCGACCTGATGAAAAAATGCCTGACCCGCTGAATGAATTAAATAATTCATAACTCCGAAAGTGATATTTCATTAACATGCACTCAGTATAATATTGCGGAAGTTGTGAATTGCTGCTGAAAAATGTTTTTACTTTTTATAAGCGGTAATTAAGCTTATAAAACATTTGGGAAAGTAAATCATATTATTTTCATCTATTTACGAATTATAACGTAAGTTTTTACCGTATATAAAATAACGATATAAATATGTATGCACGACCTTAGTTTCGACTGGAAAAAAAGTTGTTTAGTTCTAATAAAAAATTAGTTCTAATTAATTTACTCAACATTGTTCATTCCGATTAATGTTCATTGTTGTTTACTTGTCAAACTCGGAAAACACTATTTATTATAACTATAACAGTACTATTCTTAATTGTGGTTTCGTGGAAATTAAATGATTCATTTCATGATATGTTCCTGCAGTGTTATAAATTGTCGTAGTTCTTCATGGTCTAAACAGAAATGTCTTTTGTAGAACTGTATAGTGGTATTCTGAGTAACAGTTATAACTTAAGCTAGGGAGATCTTTCTCGTATTTTAATGAGAAAGGTTCCAAGATTAGTTGCATAACAACTTAAGGAATAAGTATTATGCCAACCATATCTATATCCCAAATTCATTGTGTTCTGACTAAGTAATAACCCATGCAAAGACGACAGAATACCAGAGTACTACAGACTGCACTGGCTGAAGCATAGTTTGTCAAAGTCTGTACTAATAACTCGTTTATTATTTGAACACTGAATACATGTATCATAACTACATGGGAAGAAATACCGTTCCTCAGTGTAAACTTCATCTCAGGTTTAAATGTACAGGAACATAAGTCAAAAAATACTCGCAAAAAATGGATAGCATTCAGAGCAGATTTGCGTGATCGGAGCGGTGCAAAATATAATTGATATAGATGGACCATAGATATACTAAAAAAGAACAGAAACACAAGGGTCAAAGATTACGCAAAAAATCTCTCTACACGAGAGATACAAACGAATTCTAGTGGATTCATTCATGCTTTACAGGAATTTCGGTGTCAATGACGACGGCTTCTTGTGGTGCTTCATACGGAGCTTTGATTTGCAGAATTCCATCGGAAGTGAAGTGACAAGTCATATCTTTAACAAGAGATTATACATTTGGATCTTTATCTAGAAATATGTGTGACCTTAGAGTTAATGAACTTTCAAGAGTACATAATGAAAGAATTGTTTTGACAAACATTTACGATTACCTTTAACAACTACACCTTGTGGTAAGGTGACTTTTCGCATATATTCAATTTTTGTTTCACTATCTTTGTGCTTCGCTTCTATTGTGAGTGTGCCTTCTTTAGTATTGGTCTTCACCATGACCTAAATCACAATAATGAAGAACACTTAAACTTCAGAAGCTAAAGTTACTCAGAATTTACTATTTGTCACATTGCAAGTTATAATATTCACTGCGATTAATTATTAGAGACAATAATTTATATATTTAAAATAATTAACAAGTGTAAATCCAAATTGTTATTGTATTTTAAATACAATTTTAATATCAAAAATGACAAAGAACCATGACACGAACTTTTACGATCTTGATAGAAATTACCTCTTCAGGTTTAAATCGACGTACATCCAGTTCCAAAACAAACTTCTTGATACCATTCTCTTCAATGATTGGATTTTGAATACGATAGTCTTCCACTAGCGAAGGATGTTCACGAGCACCGATCGGACGAAAGTTATCAAACCAATCTCGTGAATTCCCTTTTTTTAAAATTAAATGTAACATATAATCTGAGCGTGAAAATAAGAAATAATTGCTAATAAAGGTAGCTAACAAAAATAGGCATAAACTACATCAGCAACTGTAGTTCTAGATGCCACTTCGACAAAATGACAGATCTCATTTCAAAAGAGAAAGAAAAAACATGATTTTAAACCGCTTCCTGAAAGCACATACTCCTCGTCATAGAAACAGTGATACCAGCATGAGTATTCGAAAGCATTAATTAAGTAGGGCTTCAAAATTTGGAAAAATTAGTTATGTAATTTACAAAAAACTCGTTCAAATTGCCGTTCAATATCTTGCAACTGCTTGTCAATGCTTCTAAATACTGATGACAATGGGTACCGAGGTCCGAAAAAATATGATCGTGTAGAATAAATTGGCAATACATCGGTTAAGGATTTTAGAACTTGTCGGGTACTACGATTAACCAAAATACGCAACATTCTGCAAACCTCAAAAATAAAATTTCTGTAAACAACATAGAAATTTTTTTACACCAAATTGAATTTTCGTATATAGTCAAATTTCTGCTTTTATAAAACAAACTACTTATGGAATAGAAAAAATACGTTTCACCATGAAAATTCTATTCTTCTTGGAATTGCCAAAAGAAAACGTTTTTAAACACAAATAAGTATTAAAAACCTCAAGAATATGAATCTCAGGTTTTTATGCTTATTAGTCTAAAACTAATGAAAGCAATTCAATAATTTCATTTAATTTTTTTTAAATTTTGAAATCACAAAAAAAAAAAAGTAAGATGCAAAAGTTAAAAGCAGTACTTTATCTATGAATAATGCATGTAGAGAAACAACGTCTGGCGAAACTGATACTCCCTTTACTAATCAATATACGCTGATTTTGCCAACATTTTTTGATAATACGTGATAGTGAATTGTTACTAATGTTAGCAGTATCAACTAAGTATAACTTTTTTGTAATTGAACGCTGCGCATATTTCGTAAACTTCCGTAAACCCAACGTAACAAGTGAAAAATACTTTATTATCCTAGTACGAATTGAATTGATTGTGTAATATATTATGAAACGAAGTTTAAAAATGAAGCCCGTTAAAAGTTAGCTATGGAATGATCAATATCTTAAAAAATTGAAATACATATGAAATGAAGGATCAGTCAAGAAAAAATATCCTGGTGTTAGGACTGAGATTTATTAAGCAGTAATTTGTAAAAGCAGTATACCTTGGTTTTAACTGTGTTATTCTGCTCTTAACTGGTTTCATTAAAAAAGTATTCTATGCATAATTTACTCAAATTTGACTTATATTAAATAGGAAATAGGACTAAGATTTATTGAGCGATAATTTGTAAAAGCAGTACAGTACACACCTCGGTTTTAACTGTGGTATTCTGCTCTTAACTAATTTTCTTAAAAAAATATTCTGTGTATAATTTACTCAATGTTGACTTACATTGGATAGGAAATATATCTCAGAACGAAATGTCATCTAGGGTATTTTAAAGAAATACATTTTGGAAAATAAACAGCGGTCATAGTTCAGAAGTTTTTTTATCATTATCTGAGAATTCTTTTCTAGATTCTCGTTTAATTTTTGTACATGATAATGCACTGTAAATGACTTTGGGCTGAAACTACTTAAATGTTATTACCGATTGCTATTGTACTGTATGATAGTTCTAAAAATTACTGGAAGATATTTTTAATAAATTATAATTTATAGAGTACCAAATATTTTGTGATTTGCTATTGAACAAATTTGATGCAAAAGATTATGCATTAGAAAAAAGAGAAAGTCATTTGAATGCCTTTTCAGTGTTCTTCAATTTTTATTTTAACGCTGTATGTAGAATTTCTTAATGCTCGAATCATTTTTGATGTTTCCAAAATATTTTTTACTTTTGTATAAATTCATTAATTATAATA